CTGTGTCTAATAATAATAATAATATTGAATATATACCTCAATATTATATAATGTAGCTAGGTATTTATTGTTATCATCGCAGTTAACTATTAATTTAATGACAATGTTGTGATATAGCTTTTTTCATTATAATATGACATTTTTTTTATGCATTTCTTAMAATTTTTTCGTTATTTTGTCCTACTTCGAACGGTGCGATACGCATTCAATTTCTATCGCGTTAATATTTTGTAATAATTTTTTTACATAGAACACAATTTTTTAGTGCATATTTATATAAATATTTTTTATACTTTGGGTCCAATAAGTTCCAAGTCCTATTAATAATACTTAGTCATCCGATGTGAAAATGAATTGAAGAACCATATTTATTCAGAACTTTATTTGAGAAACGATTKAAATTCAGAACATTTTTTATATTTTAYCGTCACCAAATAATTTTAATTTTTAAACATGTTTTTCGAGACCATTGTATATTTAATTTATAAAAGAATAAATAGATTGATATATACTTACATCATAATATATATGTAATTAAAAATGTATTTAAGGCATAAATTTGATTATTTAATTTAATTTAATTTTTTTATTTTGTTTAAGTCATATAAATTAAAAATTGTCTTAATTCATAGGTACTACATAATTATAATTTATAACATTTAAAATTAATTTTGAAAAAAGTCAAATTATCAACACTTACATAATATTATTTTCTAATTAAAATAAACGTCAATGRAAAACATTTCTAAAAATATCTAATAATTCATTATTGTTATAATCTTCACATATAATTTTTTATATCTTCTTTGCATATTATAAACATACATTTTTTCCTGAAAGTTTTCCAATATTTTATCACACTATTTTATCTTCGTTTATTCTTGATTATWATCGCATCTTTTCTATGAGTAACTATATGCGTAGTTTGATGAGAACGATTATCTAATTTAGAAAATTAATGACACAATGTAAACGGATTTTGGATTTAGCATAATATTATACTGTATGATATATCATATATGCATAACCACTTAATTTAATTTTATTATGTCTGCCATTTTCAATAGGTACATGAAATAAAATTAAAAAATATTATGTTCTCTTAAAATCTTTAGTTGAAATTCAGAACTGAAATTGTTAATTATATTAGGTTACTAAAAAAGTGTTCCGATGATCTCTCCATGATATCCATAAAAGGATATCAATTACAATTTATAAAGAAGGCATACATATMTACAGTGAAYAGGTATTCACAAATTCACATTAAATGATAATATAATATAAGGTATTCACAACTGTAACATAACCTTAATTTAGAACTTAGTTATTTACTTGTATATTTACTTATTAATGATTTTGTAACCACAACCACAGGCTAATGACCTAGTTGTTGAAGCCTTTAATATAAAAAAAAAAATAATAATAAAAAATATAAGGTATTCTACAGTGTTTGAAAAGAATAACACTAATGTTAAAAAACGGTAAAGTGGTTGTATTTTATTCTGTTATACTACTCAATTTTGTTTTTTGATTTTTTATAATTTTAATACGGACAATCGTGATTTCAAACATCTTTTCTTCAAACATTTTTGTAGTGTGCAGACTACCTATTCTCAATGGCATCCCAGTGTAAATATAATTGAAAATAATGCTTTAAATTCTTGAAATAATGCATACATTGTATTATGCTCTTACATTTTTTTTATTTATTAATTTATATTCAATAAATAGTAAATGTATTTAAAGTCACAATACAATAATTTATCCTCACTTAGAACTGTATAAATAATAGATATTTAAATGAGACACTTACATAATTTATTTAAACATCGACCTAGGCAAGGTGACCCTCATTTGGTTTGGTATATTATATCCGGCGACGATTGATCCGTGACATTTGAACCGGTTCAAAAAGAACCTGTACAACTATTACAAAAAATATCTGGCTGAAAAACGTCCGGTAAAAAAAAAAACTAAATACAAATGTATATAAATTAGAACTAGAATTCTAGAAAAATAATCTAAGTATAATAGAATATTATAGAATATAACTATATTACTTTTATAATTCCAGTATATTATTATGTCTTCAACAATAATTTATAATTTATATGTTGACTAATTATTATTTTTTTTACCTGAAGTTTTTAAAAATTATAATAATAATTTCTACATTATATTTTTATCTTTAACCGGAAATTTTTAAGCCAGATATTTTTGGTGCTGGTTCTTTTTTATCCTGATTAAATGTCGCTGATCCATTGTCGCCGGGTATAATTTACCTGATCAAATAACATGGAACTCTTATGCAAAAGGTTTATTTGGCTATAAGCCAATTATTTATATGTTATTAAATTCACAYAATTTACGAAAATAAACGTTTTAAATATTATCAATATTAAACAATACTTGACAAATTAAAATGGTCCATGACAAACGTAATAATATATGTGTGGTCGGGAATATAACTAAGTCTAAAATAGAAAGATTTTAATTGTGCTCWGTAATAAATACAATTTAATACATTAAAATTTCAATATAACAACACTTAAATGATCGAGAAATGTTCATTTTTTAAACTAAATAAATATATTTATTGATAACGTTTAAAAATGTAACATGACATCATTATAAGTTTCATACATTTTTACACTATAATATAGTATACCTAGCTGAATGCCAACTTTAAATGATTAGTATTACGCAAATATTATGTAATCACTAATCATTATTATTGCCTATTATTATTATTATTTATCAATATATCTTATTTTACTGGACAGATGGCGCTACCAGTATCCTATTATATAACTAAAAATTTCGTGGACAGAATTAGGGTCTATAAAGCTATGACTTAAACCTGCTTCGTAAAATATTCTATTATAACAAAAAACTTGCATGAATGTCGGATGATTAGTTCCATGCGAGACACAAAATTTTCATGTTCACATACACATTATTATAAATAATATTTATGTATATATATATATAAATATTATATTGTAATTTGTGATGTTAATAACGTAATAAAAATTACAAATATTTGAATAGAAGTGTATTGTTTTGAAATGTATACAATATATTATACTAGTAGCTGTTATATTTATCTTCTGGATATGTTCTGGACGCCATTCTGGACTTTGTACTGTCTATTGTTTGAGTTACATACCGCTGACACTTTGTACGGTGATATTAGACTCCTGAAAATCGATTATTGGCACTACGTTCGGTATAAATAAACCGGGAAATATATTTTACAAGATATKAAGATAAAATCAATTTTCTCGAAACATTAGATCGTGAMTCATGATCGCATTTGATGACACAGTAGATCAGTAGAACTTAATCTATWTACACTCTAAAATACACCACTAAAACCAAACTACAAAACTAAATCAAAAAATGTTTGAATAATAGTATRATTATGCCACTTTGATAATAAATAAATCAAATTTAAATTGTTCAAAAGTGATTTGTACAGGTAATGTTACTACGAAACTTTATGAACCGATGAGTTATATCATAGAATGAATTATTTCGTAATGGACTGATTACAACCACGATTCTAGTAATAAAATATTAAAGTTGAAAACCTTGTACTAACCAATATGAAAAGCCGAGCTTTTAACTGTAGAGAATCAAAATATCAAATTCTTCTGTCTGTAACACATGAAAAGAGTTCCAATCGGATTTGAAGAAAATTCACTAAACACGAATTTATTAAAATAACTATTATCATTATTTTTGTTTATTAACTACCTGTTTTTTGTAATAACAAATGATGACGTGATATACACAATTTTTTTTGCTGAAACAATACAAACTGTCCGCTATATACATTTTATTACACCATCTGAAATAAAACAAACTGTCCGGGATCTTAACTTTTTTCTAGGWGGCCGTACAAAGACTAAAAAGTGTCATACAACAGTAGGATCAGTGATACATTATTTCTTCGTTCAAACATGTGATATTCACACCTCTATAGATATCCATTATTTTGTTGTTCCTACTTGATTTGATTTATTAATATAATATTGGTTTTTGTTAWCTTATAAAGAGTTCTTTAACTGTTATGACTCATACATACATACTCTTTAGTCTGTATGGTTACAATACATAGGTTGTAGCTCTTTATTCATTAGTAGCATTTTTATCAA